AGTCCCCCAGAGTCGAGGGCCTGCTCTGCTGCCTGCAGATGATGTGAGCTTGCAGGGGGGCCCTGCCACTCTCCCCGGGACAGACCCCTCTCTCTCCACAGCCCCACAGACCTGTCCGAGCTGCTGAAGGAAGGGACCAAGGAGGCCCACGACCGGGCTGAGAACACCCAGTTTGTCAAAGATTTCCTGAAGGGACACATCAAGAGGGAGCTCTTCAAGGTGTGTCCAGCTTCATCCACGTCCTGGGTCTCGGGGGGGGGGGGGGGGGCGTCAGGAGACCAATTCAGCCCATTTGGATGGATGCCCTGCTCTGGAGCGGAAGAGCCGCATCTGTGGCAAAAGAGGGTTGGCTTCTTCACCCTCCATCTCAGAAGATCTCTCTGGGCTCCTCGAATGGATTTGTATCTCCTTTTCCTGGCTTACAAAGCATTGAAAGTGGAACCTCCTTTGGTCCCGGAGGGGTCCAGCTTGGGGCTGTTTTTGCCACCTTGGCCTCAGGGAGCAAGGCGGCCTCGGGCACAGCAGTCCAACAGCTTGGACACCAGGGTAGGCTGGTATCCCCTGGCCTCTCACAGTCCCTTTGTTCCCTTGCAGCTGGGCACAGCGGCCCTGTACTTCACGTACTCTGCGCTGGAGGAGGAGATGGAGCGCAACAAGGACCAGCCCAGCTTCACCCCTCTGTATTTCCCCTTGGAGCTGCACCGGAAGGAAGCCTTAGCCAGAGACCTGGAGTATCTGTACGGGGAGAGCTGGGAGGAGAAGATCCAGTGCTCAGAAGCCACCCAGCGCTACGTGGATCGCATCCATCACGTTGGGCAGCAGGAGCCGGAGCTGCTGGCGGCCCATGCCTATACCCGCTACATGGGGGACCTTTCCGGGGGGCAGGTGCTGAAGAGGGTGGCTCAGCGCGCCCTGAAGTTGCCAAGCAGCGGAGAAGGGATCAACTTCTACATGTTTGAAAACATCTCCAACCCCCAGCAGTTCAAGCAGTTCTACCGAGCCCGGCTCAATGCCCTGGATGTGTCCCAGGAGACCAAGGAGAGGATCGTCAGGGAGGCCAACCGGGCCTTTGAGTTCAACATGCAGGTGTGAGGCTGCTAAAGCCCTGAATCCCTCCTCCTGGGGCTGGATGGGGGCTCTTCTCCCAAGGCCAGGTGACCCTGCGGGGCTGCCCGCCCGTTGCCTTCTCCCCCAGCTCACGCCCGAAACAGCCAGCGGTGCCAAGTTCAGCTTTCTCTGTGGCCCAAATGAGGGGCATATTTTCTGGCCTCTCGGGCTTAAGCCAGGAGACCTCCAATTGCTGCCGGCCTCCTGCTTGGACGCCCGGAGGGACAGGCCTGGCACCCTCTGGCAGCAAAGCCAGCCTTTCTGCTCCAGGGAGCAGAGAGAGTCCTGGGGCCCATGGCTCTCGGAGGCGGTTGCTGCTACGGGGCGGCTCTGCTTTGCTGCTGCCTGGCTAGAGTCCAGAAGCGCCCACAACGGCTGGGCCCAGATCCGCTGAGCTCTCCTGGCGATGGCTTTCAGCTCAGGGCAACCTTGGACTTTGCAGGTCTTTGAGGAGCTGGACAAGATCGGGGCTTTATTACCAGAAGAAGCCCAAGATGGCGGCCTCCCAGTGCATGATGGGAAGGGAGACATGCGCAAGTGCCCCTACTACTCCTCGAAACTCGGTAGGTCGTCCCCCCCTTCCCCTTCTCCCCCCTCCGGCTTCCTCCAGCCTCTAACGGTCCTCTTCCTCCCCAGCCGGCTCCAAGGACGCTGCCGCCTGCCCCTGCCACCTCGCCCTGGCTGCCCTGAAGCTGCCCACCGTCCAGCTGGTCTTGGCAGCCTGCGTTGCGGTCACTGCTGGCATTGCAGCCTGGTACGTGATGTGAGGCTGGGCACCGGCCGCCCACCGGCCCTTGAAGAAAGTGCTCCTTTTCTCCATTGACATAAGTGGATTTTTCATGCCGGATTTAATTGAGGAAACATTAAACCCAAACCCAGTGTACAAACGCCTGTGTGTCCAAACAATTAGGAGCAGAACTCATCAGAAACTCTGAGCTATCGGCTGGGGGAGAGAGGGGGCCTGAGGGGGTCTCTCCTCCTCGCTTCATGGAGGGCGGGAGGTGGGGGGACAGGCCAGCAGTCCTCTCCCCTGGGTGCAGAATGCACTTGGCTCCCGTTTAGTGGCAGAAGGGCTCCCCAGTTTGTACATATGGAAAGTGGTTTCACCTTCATGTAACTTATAGACTATGGCGATGCCTCTGACGTAATAAAACTGATATTTGGTTTCTGCCGTTTGCGTGATTTGGGGAGGGCGCATTCAGGCTGTGACAGTCCTGCTTCTCTGCCTCATGTGTGTCTTCACTTGGCACGTGAGGGCATGTAAGCGGACTGCCCAGCCTTCTGGAAATACCGCTAAGAGGGTCAGAGTGAGCTCCGGCCCTCCCTTGCCCCCTCCTGCATAAACCCTTCTTCCTTTCCGGGGGCCCCTCCGCCCCCCAACAGCCAGGCTCCGGATTATGCCCCAGACACACGGCACACACATTCGCTGAGGGTCAGTCTTTTTATTTGATTACAAACATGGAAGAGCTTTGACAGGTGACTCCCCTCTAAGAAGAACGGGATGAGAATTCCCTGCTGATTCCAAGTGCTTCAGGGAGCCCTCAAGGCCAGGCCCGGCCCATCTGTGCTCTGCAGCCTCCGTGGGCAGCCTTTGGGCGAACAGGTGCCTGGGCAACACCACACACGGGGGCACAAGTGCTTGAGGCAAGGTAGCTCAGCCTCTGGAAAACGGAACCAAGGACTCGGACCAGACACCTGCTATCCCATCACAAACCTCAGGAGCTCCTGGGCCCCCGGTTCCTTGGGGTCAGACAAGGGCTTTTTAGCAAAACTAGTGCAAAATGGCGTGTGTCTCTACGGGGTTTTCACATTTCCATAAAGTAGTTAATTAAGTTTAGTACCTGAAACAACAAGCGATCACAAAGGGAACCTGGGACAGGCACGTTTTCTCGGCTCAGGGATGGCTCGGAGGAATATCTGCGGGGGGGGGGGGGGGGGGGGGCTGGCTCTGGGCCTCCTGCACACCTGGGCAAACGGGATCCAGGTCCAGCTAAGACGGACGGTGCCATTGCCCACCCTAGTTGAGAGGGATGTCTGAGACAAAACAAGGGATGCTGGGAAGGCGGCTCTCGCTGCTTGCGTGTGGGGTGCCCTACACTTTGACTGGGCCTCTTCCTTCTCCTGAATGAGGTCTCTGAGCAACTCTGCCGCTGCTTCTTCGTTCTGCCAGGCAAGAGGCAGACTGGCTTCCGGTGCCTGGCCAAACTCTAGAAAGCACGCGGAGCTGTGCAAAATCAAAAAGTCAAACAGCCTCTCCAAAAGTTCAAGGAGCAGCCATAGAAGCGGGAACCACCAACACAGAATGAAGCCTTCCAGCTTTCCCTTGGATAGAAAGGTAGGTGGGCCTCAGCAACGCCTGGAACACGCAGAAAAGCCAACAGCTCTGGACTTCTGGGGGGGGAGGGGAGCTTGGCAGAGAGCAGAGACAGACCAGAGGAGAGTAGTAGACTGGATCTTCAGAACTCCTCCAGAGTTAGAGAGGACGAGGGATTGCCCACGTGGTGGGCTCCGGGTAGTCGCTCCTTGTGAGGGGACTCTCTGGGACTGGCCTAGTATGGATCCCAGTTCCAGGAGACAAAGGGATTGGGCTACGCTTTTTAAAGGACACGAAGTTCATTAACATCCCTCCTAAGCACTTTTGGAAATTGCTCATTTGAACATCTTAATGCTGACAGTCTTCAGAGGGACAAGTTTGAAATGTCACACACTGAATAAATGTTTATCGTGAACAAAAGAAAAAATGTAAGTTTCGGAACTTTAAAAAAATCAAAATGAAAGGCAAAAAGCCAAACAAGTTATAAACAAATTAAGACTCCAGAAATTGGAATATTGAAAGTTCTACCATAAAATTAACTATATAATATAAATAGCTTTTTGTAAGAACCAGAATTATTTTGGCTAACATAGATGATAGGCCCTGTGATTAAATTATAGATGGGACTAAAATCCAGCCCCCTCAAAAAACAAAAACTCCAGCTTGTCTCTAGGATTTACAAAATTATACCATTAACATTTAAATTAAAGATTTCTGAAGAATAGGGCCCGAAATCAGTATTAACAGTATCGGTAGGAATCTCCGTTTATCTGGATAGATAGGAACGACAGAAGTGCAACAAATTTTACTTGATGCAGAAGTAGTGGAATCAGAAATATTGGGTCGAAAAAGGTATGGATTACAAAATAGACAAAGCACTCAAACTGGAAATAAAATTGAGAGGAACAAGCGTGGATGACAAGAGCCAAGAGAAGGACCCTGATGAGGACTTTTTAGTGGATAAATAATAGGTTGAGGCTTAGCAAATCAAAGGGCAAATGCAAAAGGAAAGCCAGGACAATGACTTGGACAATGGCTTTCCACTGGGCCTGTTAAAGCCTCAAAGCACCAACAGAAAAACGCTGCTGCATCCGAATGAAGATCGAGATTGTTAGAAGTAAAATAAAGGAATATACGGTTGCTTTGCTTGATCAAGGTTAAATCAAGGCACATTTTTATAAGCCTCTGGTTTATGGACTTTGTGGATCCTTTAGCTAAAACCAGGACTGAAAAGCTGGTGGTTCATGATTTTATGTATGGAAGAGATGGGAAGAAAAACATATTTGTAACTTTGTAGGGGGCAATATGAAACTGGCTTTTACTTGTGATGAAAACGGGAAGCCACTTTACCTATTTTTCTTCCTTTCCTTTGTCCTATTTATCTTTTCCTTACTTTGTACTTCTATGCTATCTCTCTCTGACTTTAATGTGTTCGTGCTTTTGCTATTTAAGCTCTTTAATTAAGAAAATAAAATGTAAAAAAAAAAGGCCAAGAGCACCTACGGACGGCTCCTTCTCGGATCAGTGCCAAGGCCTCACTGCAGGTGGGGCCCCCATTCTCCCAGCCAAGCACCAGCAGCCCCTTGCCTTGGGGGAGGAGAGCCACCCGGCTGGCTCAGCTTCCCCTTCACATTGCCCCCTCCCCCCAGGAGCCAGCCCACAGATCCCCCCCCTGCAGCCTTTGGGGGGGGGCAGCACAGCCCCCCCCCGCGAGCGCCTGTGGGCGAAGGAAGGGGGAGAGCAGAGAAGCACGAAAGCAGAGGGGAAAGGCAAACCCGGAGGCAGCAGCAGCCGAGCTCTTCAGCCGAGAAGGCCCTGCTAGCACATGTGCCTGTAGGTGTAGATGTAGGCCTTGCAGTTGGGGCAGGTGTGGGTCACGTCCTTAAATTCGTCAAGCAGGCAGGGGATGAGGCAGCAGCCCAGGCTGCACCTGCAGAGGAGAGGAGAAACGGTGAGGGGCGGGGGGGGCTTCTTTGCATCCACTCGCCCGGGGGGGGGGGCAGGGAAACACAACCCTGGAAGCTCCCTCCCTCCACTGGGAGCCCGCTAGACGGCCTGCCCCACAGGAGTGGCTTGCAGGGACTGGCAGGCTGCCCCCCCCCACCCGTCTCCACCCCCAGCCTGCTCCAAAGCCGGGTTTCCCCCCCCCCCTTACCCGATGAAGCAGCAGAAGAATCCCAGGAGGAAGTTCATGAGGCCGATTTCATGGCTGGTCTTGGTGGTGATGGCCTGCTGGCAGTGCGGACACACGGTCGGGACAGGGGCAGCCTGGAATATCTCACCCTGCAGGACCGTCACTGTGGTTGCGGTGCCCAAGGGCACTAGCACAGCTGCCGTCTGCCCTCCAGCAGGGGCATAGGGCCCAGGGGGAAGGTAGTAGTCTGTGGGGGCGTGGGGCCCCGGAGGCCCATAGTGGCCGCCTACAAAGGCAGGGAAGAAGGGACCCGTTTAAGGCCCAGGGGGCTCCCAGGCGGACTCCTTGCCCAGCCGCTGCCATACTAACAGGCCAGGAAAGCAGAGATCGGCCTGTCCCGATTCCTCCGTCCTGGCTGCACTCACAGCTTCCACAGCAGAGCAGCCGCTCAGGGCACCTCAGTCTGGCCAGCTGCTGCACTGGGTTTCGTGGCCTTGTGACCAAAGGCCACTTGAGGGCAACACAGAGGTAGAGAGCCACCTGCTGTTCCGCCCAGAGCAGCCCCCGGCCTTATTTCTCTTCTCTGGCGCTTGGAAGGTCTAACTGTGTTGGGCCCCGCATTGCTTGGAGATTTATAGGCTGCCTTGATATTGCGGCCACAGGGCATCCGCTTCTGCCACGCTTGGCTTGTGTGCCACTCCAACCACTCCTAACCCTCTTTTAGGCCGGCACACACCCAGGGGCGGTGGTGTCGAAGCCCTCCCCGTCTCCCACGCCACTCACCAGGGGGGGAGTAGGCCATCGAGCTCTCGCCCGGCTGGGGGGGAGGCATTGCTTCATAGGGTGGGGGACCAACATCGGAAGGGGGCTGCCCCGTGGATGGAGGGCTCCAACCTGAGAAGATTTGGGAGAAGTGGGTGTCACATGGAGAGGAGGGTGGCCAGGTGGGTGAAGGGTCACAAGCAAGAGCCTCACCTGCGGGGAAGGGGAACCTATCCTTCTCTTCCAGGAGGGGGGCGGATGGCCCCCCGGGGTAGGGTGGAGGAGGGTCGCTGGACATGCTGAAAGAAACAAAAGGAGGCAGAGATGCTGAGATGGGAGGCGGGCAGCCTAGGAAAGGGGTGAGAAAAAGAGCTGAGAGCTCAGCCAGGGGAACTGGGGGGGGGGGTTTTCCTCATGGGATCCTTGACACAAAGACCCCCACAAATGGCCCAACCTCCTGCTGTTGACTTCGGGGAAGAGGAGAAATCAGGGCTTCCCTCCTGCCCATCTGCTGCCCTGGCCTGAAGGCCTCTGCCCTAAATGAGAGAGAGAGAGAGATGAAGACGGAGGACCAGCAGGAGGGGGGTGCTTGGCTCCGCTCCCCAGAAGGAAAGGGATGCCCCACCTTCCCCAAAGGCTTCCCCTTCCCAGCATCACAGAGAGGCTGCTGGCCATTATGCGAATTCATCCCTCTGGGCACACAGTCCCTGCAGGGGGAGTCAGTCGCCAGCATCAGCCAGGACCACAAATGCATTTCCAGCCCCAGAGGGAGGGGTCCATTTTGAGACTGACCCTTTGGGGGGGGGGCACAGGAGGATCCTGTCAGACTGCAGGTGGGGGCACAACTGTGGCCTCCCTTTAGGACACCTGGTCAAAGGTGGCAGGCTTTGTGCCCAGAAAAGACCCCTTCCTGGATGGGAACGGGGACACACAGGACTGGTGCAGAGAAAGGGAGAGGGAGGCAGATCTCTTTAGACGCAGGTCACACCCCTGAGTGGGCAGAGACCCTCCTGCCCTCCAAGGGACACTCCCCAAATCCCAGCAAGCTCAGCGCAAAGGAGCCGCTCAGCGCAAAGGAAAGGCCGGTTACCCCAAAAGGAAATATTCCCCTCCGGCCAAAACAAGAGCAGCAGCTCAAAAGGCACCACAAACCCTCCCGACCGCAGGACGAGAGTCCAGGCGCTCCTTCTGCGCAATAGACCCAGCGGCCCCCTGGGGAACAAAACCCGGGCAGCGGGCTCCCCTCGGGGGAAAGGGCCGGCTTCCCCTCCCGCAGACCTGGGCACGCGCCCCCATCGCTCGGGGAGCCCCGGGGATGGAGAGCAGAGCCTCCCGGGAGGGCAGCTGGCAGGCGGCCTGGCCCTCTTTCCCACCGGCAGAAGGCTGGCACGGCTACCGCCCACTCGGGAGACCCGGCCCGCCCCCACCCGGGCATCGGAAGCCCCCGGCGGCCCCGCACAAGGGCGGGTGGGGGGGAAGGGGCCAACCGGCGACGGACGGCGGCCTCCCTCGCCCACCTCCGCCGCAGTGGGCCCTGGGCGCCCGGGCACAGCACTCCGCTTCGCCCCCCTGCAGACGGCGGGGAGGCCGATCCTCCCGTCCCTCCCTTAGCGGCTCCGGAGACCCTCCGCCCGCCCAGGGCCCCCCCAGCCCCGCAGCCGCCCCCACGCCCCCCGCGGACCCAGCGGCTCCCTTCGGAGGGCGACCGGACGGCACCTGCAGCGGCGTCTGCGAGGCCGGGGGCTCCGGAGCAGAAGGTGCGGCGGCGCGGGCGGAGAGAACGGGGCTGGCGGAGAAACTCGCGGGGGCTGCCGGGAAGGGTAGTCCGGGGGACCACAAGCCCCGGCAGGCCGCGCGCCGGGAGCCCAGAAGGCTCTGCCCCCCCTCCTCCCCCCCGCCCCCCCCCGCCTCACCTGCGGAGCGGGAGGAGGGAGCCGCTGCGGAGGCCGGCAGAGGGGGCGGGGCCTCGGGGCGGACGGGACCAATCCAAATGCGGGAAAGGGCCCCCGCGCGCCGGGAAGGCTCCTCCCCCGGGGCCGAGACGCGTGTCGGCGAGGTTGTCTGAAGGCGGTGGGGCTGGTGCGGCTGGTGTGGCTGATGGGGGCGCTCGGGAGCCCCGAGATGCCGGCGTCCCCGGTGCGAGGCAGGGCACGGAAGAGGCGCTGTGGGAGCGGGCTGGAAGGCCGAGCCCATGCGAGGGGGTGGCGCCAGGGCCCGCCTTGCCCCGGGGCCCCCGGCAGCGGCTCCCGGCTTGCCCGCCTCCGCCCCCCGCGCCGCGTTCCGGGTCTCCTAGCAACCGGGAAAAACTTTCCCGCGAGCAGAACGCCGCCGCCCGCCGCAGCTGCCGGATCCTGGCCCGGGGCCGCCCGTGAGCCGCGAGCCTCCCCAGGGCAGCGGGACCATGAGCCGCAGCCTCTCCTTCGTGGAGCTGATCAACCTGGCCATCGGGACGCCGGAGTTGGGCAATGTCAACTTCAACGCGCTGCACCTGTTCCTGCACAGCCTGGTGGAACACCTCCGCCTGCAGGACCTGAGGAAGGAGGTGTCGGCCGAGGAGATGCAGTTCATCAAGCCGCCCCCCAGCCCCGGGGGCCCTGCAGCCACTTCGGCCACTAAGCCACCCCCCAGCCCCGGGGCCCCTGCAGCCACCTCGGCCACCAAACTGCCCCCCAGCCCCGGGGGCCCTGCAGCCACCAAGCCGCCCCCCAGCCCCGGGGCCCCTGCAGCCACCTCGGCCACCAAACTGCCCCCCAGCCCCGGGGGCCCTTCGGCCACCAAGCTGCCCCCCAGCCCCGGGGGCCCTGCAGCCACCGAGAGCCTCCCTGCGGCCCAGGCGCCGGTCTCCATCTTCCACCAGATGCTGGAGAGGATCGGTGCCATGGAGAAGCAGCTCCGGTTCTTGAATGAGCCCCCTGACACGGCCGAGCTGCTGGCTCGCAGCCAGGGCCTGGGCCAGCCCGCCCTGGACATGTGGCAGATGATGCAGCTGAAGAGGAAGATGGAGCTGAACGAGGAGGGCATGACCAAGGTAACGCGGCCACTCGCCCTGCCCTTCGCAAGCAGCACCACCCCCAGGGCTGCCTGGAGCTCCCCAGACCTCTGCTGCCCATCAGAAACAGAGAAATCCTTGCTGGGTGAATAGAGGCATTGGGCAACCCAAAATGGGGAACACGCCCCGTGGCTCCTTTGGGCCTGAGGACGGCTTCCTCCCTTCCCCAGCGCCCTATTAAAGACTTCCACCATCTCTTCCTTCCACCATGTGAGTTCCGGGCATTGAGTAAATCCCCCCAGAGGGAGGGTCCTTCTCTGGGCAGTGCTCCGAATTCCTACCCCCCCACCTTCCTCTGGTCCAGCAACTGTGGGGCTGCTTAGGCACAATAAAGGGATTGGAGGTTTCCTGTCCAGTTGTGGGGCTGTGGAAGGTTCTGAGAAGGAAGGAAGGCCTGCCCCCCCCCCACCCCGCCCTTTCCCTCGATTGCAACAACCCTACGAACAGCCTGCACGCGACGCAGAGTCTCCGTCGGCCACTCACTGGTCTTTGGCCCTCCGTGACGCCTCCTGTTTTCCCATCCAGGCCATGAACACCTTGCAGGACCTGCTGAACAACATCTGCTCCCTGAAAATCGCCACGGAAGGCTTTCAGAAAGAACTGGAGAAGCTGAAAGGAGACGTTGCCCAGGTGAGCGGTCCTGTGGGAGAGAGAAGGGAGCTGTCGGTGATCCTCGCCAGGCGGCAGCCCTGATGCTGCTTTTGCTATTAACAGATCGACGGAGAAGAAATGAAAAAGCAGCTGCTGGGCCTGGACAAACAGGCCAGGATGATGGAAGAAATGAAGGAGCAGCTGGTGAGAGAATCCCGAACCCTCACGCCCTTGCCACTCTCTCTGTGCCCTCCAGGCCCGTTAACCCAATGCCCTGCCTCTCTGCCTCTCCCTTTGCCCCTTGCGGCCACCCCTGTTAAACCTCCTGACAGAGGGAGCGTGGCAAGGCCTTCAGGTGGGCAGCCAGGGCACCAGGGAGTGTGGAAAGAGGGATGAGCTGATGTGGTGCAACTTCAAGGACCTCCTCCCCCCCCCCCCCACACACTTCTTCAAAGGCTGGCTAGGCCCGGAGAGCATTTAGGTGGCTACTGCACTCCCCGAGAATGACAGAGTGGCACTTCCACAGGGGGCACCTGAAACTTTAATTAAAAATACACATAACCTCTTTCATGTGTAGGCTTCCTGTCCAGTTTTGGACACCATTATCCCCTCCTTAGTAGCCCTTTCTCACCTCTCAGCCCCTGGACAGATGCTCCTGGGCTTTGCAGACGGGCCCCGGGCGGCTCCAGTCCTCCTCTCGGCCTCTGTTTAAAACAAGCCTCTGCTGCTTCTGAAAGCAAACGCCTGTCTCGACTGCCCCCTCCCCAGCGGGCTCAACCTTCTCCTCTCCCCTGCGGGCACAGGGCCTGGTGAAAGAACGGGTCAGCCAGTCTGCAAGTGCCTCAAAGGTGGTGTCCTGGAGTGCCCTTTGTGAGACGCTCACCGGCAAAGTAAGTACGGCTGAATTGCATCCTCACCCTGAAGGCCCAGATGGGGCACCCAGCATCTCTCCCTGCCTGCCTACTTCCCTTGGCATGATGGGAGCAAGCCCGCTAACACACAGGTGAGTCAATTTGCATCCTTGGACAAACTGGATCCTCTTGACTCACCTGGGAAGGCAAAGTGCAGCAAGAATGGGGTGGAGGCCAGGACCCCCCTTGCTCGGGTGAGGAAGGTGGTGGGCAGCAGTCCCTGCAGCCAGCTTCCCCCCCCCCCCGATGCCCTATGGCTGGATAGCAGAAGTGCCTCTTTTGGAGGAGATCCTCCAAGGCACAGCCCCCCTCCTGCTCTGCCATTCCAGACCTTTGAGGAAGAGGAGTGGGACAGAGAAGAAGACTACTGGGACAGAGGAAAGAAGGACAGGAGCCGAGGAGAAGAAGACGGCTGGAGCAGAGAGAGAAAGGACAGGAGCAGAGAAGAAGAAGAAGAAGAGGAGGAGGACAGAGGGGGCAGGGGGAAAAAGAGCAGGCGCAGAGAAGAAGAAGAAGAAGAGGGGGGCAGAGGAAAAAAGGACAGGAGTAGAGAAGAAGAAGAGGGGGGCAGAGAGAAAAAGGGCAGGAGCAGAGAAGAGGACGAGGGCAGAGAGAGAAAGGGCAGGAGCAGAGAAGAGGAGGATGGCGGCAGAGAGAAAAGGGACGGGGGCAGAAGGGAAGAGGACAGGGGCAGAAAGGACGGGGGCAGAAGCGAAGAGGACCGGGGCAGAGAGAGAAAGGACAGGGAAAGGAAGGAAGAGGACCGGGGCAGAGAAAAGACATCTCGGGAAATCCTGGCTGTTCTGAGCCAACTGCCGGAGAAGCATGAAGCTCTCCTGAAGCACATCGCTCAGCTGGAGGCCCAATTGAAGTACCCAGCAGGCCCTGCAGGTGAGCCTGAGGATAGCACCTATGGGGAGTGGGGGGGCAGCTGCTGCTCCCTGGGGAGAATTGGGATGGATGTCCAGCTGGGGGCGCTGTCTCCTGGCCCTCCGAATGAGGCCCTCTATCTGCCTTCAGGTCCGCAGACCAAGTATCAGCTGGGCTCTTGTTCCTGCGGATTCCAGCTTCATCGCCCCTCCCCAGGCTGGTTAAGTCAGCAACCTGGCATAAGTCCTTCTCTCCCCCATTTCTAGCTTTTGAAATGCCACCCGAGCTGAAGTCGCTGCTGGAAAGGATGGAGATACTGCAAACACAAAGCCAGCAGGTACACCCCCCCGGGAGCCTCGCCTGGCAGGGGGTGGGCACACGGGGGGGCCTGCATGAATGTAGTTCCTCAAACGCACAAAGCCAAGCTACAAAGAGAGAGGGGGGCAGGGAGGGAGGGAGGGAGATTGTCTGTTGGGGGCGTGTTTGTGTGTGTGTGTAGGATTTGCAGGACACTAGAAATTTAGGGACAACAAGGGGGCAGATCTCACCCCGTGGTCTGGACATGCTCAGCAGCCCACTGAGGGGAGGAGGGCACGTCCTCCAGGAGGTTCTGGGTGGAAGCCCCCTTTGCCCTGGGCAACAGACAGACCCCAGAATCCTGCCTGCTGGAGGCCTCGAGGCTCCTGCCTGCAAGAAAAGCCCATGGCCGATCAGGTCTAGGCTTGCCCAGGCGCCGCAGAGCATCCCCCTGGGCCTCTTCAAGGAAGGTGCTGGTCAGAGCAGTGGCTGGACTCGGGCCAGAGTTGCTGGCCACCCCGGGGAGCGGATGGAGATGCTGCCTTCTTCCCCAGGGAAAGGAGTCTCTGCAAGAGACGCTGCAGCAGGTGGAGCAGCTGAGGGAGCAGTTTGAAAACCTGCAGCAGGGAGTGGAGAGGTTATCCAGGAGCAGCACGGAGTTGCAGGTGAGGGGCCCTCTGGCCACTCAGGGACTGGCGGAGAAGCAGGGAGGCAGCCCAGGCGGTTTCAGCAGGAGGGGAAAATGGAGCTTTTACTCCCTCTGCAGATCTTACGCAACTTGTTGCATCAGTTGGATGTCAAGAAAGCCGACAAAGACTCGATCCAAGAGGAGATGAATGTGGTGAGGAGTCCCCTGGGGACTGGAGGAGATGATCCTTCCCCCACCCCCCCACCCCCAATCTGGCCTCTGGGGTGGAAAAGAGAAGAAGCTGGCTTGGATGAAGCCTCTGGCGGCTTCTTTCCAACCTGAAGTCAGCCCGTCTCAGACAGAAGAGAAATCCCAGAGATTTCAGTATGTCTGCGGCAGGATCCCCAGTAACTAAGCGAAGTCCTCCTGTCACCATCCCCGTAGAGGAAATGTCTCTCTTGGGAAAAGAGGCCCCTTTTGCAGTCATGGGGCTTCTGTGCCTTTAAGGGGGTGACATTCAACTGGTCTAGCTCCCTTTGGGCCTCCATGCACCCCATCAGTGACTCCGGGAGTGGATTCCCTGCCTCGCCTTCAGCCATCAAAACCACAGCGGCCCTTCTGGAAGCCAAAGGCCCTTCCCTCCTCCGCTGGGCTGCCAGGGAGTCTGGTGCCAAGATCGATCCACCAGGGGGAAGAAAGGTTTTTCTCCCAAGGCCTGGTGGCCTCCCCTGCCCCCCCCCCCCTCAGCTCCTGGGGCTCAGGGAGGACCTGCTTTCTCTGCCCCAGAAAGCCGACAAGAGCGCGCTGGAGGCCATGGTGAACCACGGGCAGCTGCAGTTGGCCACCAGCCAACTGAGCGAGATGATGCAGGAGCTGCTGCAGAAGATGTCCCTGCAGGACAAGGACTGGCAGAAGGCCCTGGAGAAGCTCTTTGTGGACATGGACTGCAAGGTGACCCCTCCCTGCCTAGCCCCCTCCCCCCCCCAGGGACCCTCGGCTGCCCCAAAGCAGCCCACTCAGCCATCCTTGCTGCCCCACAGCTGGACCGCCTGGCCCTGGACCCCGTGAGCCGGCAGCTGGAGGAGGTGTGGAAGTTCATCAAGAAGTACCTGACCGAGGGCCCCCGCTTTGATGCGGACAGCGCAGCTGGCTTCAAGAAGTGAGGAGGGGACGGCAGAGCCCAGCTGGGGGAGGATGCTGTTGCATAGCCTGCCAGAGGCGCCCCCTCTTCTGTGGGCCCGAGAGAGGGAGGCTGGTGGAGCTGGGGATGTGGCCGGCCCTGGCGCAACCGGCCTTGGTTTTGCCTTGCAGGCAGCTCTTTGAGAGAGTGAAATGCATCTCCTGCGACCGGCCAGTGACCATGATGACCGGGCCGTAAGTATCCCTGCTGCCTTTCTGGGTTGGGCAGCGGATGGAGGAGCAGCCGCTGCATTTGCCCCGCCCTTCTTCCCAGGCACATGATCACTGTCCGGAAGGCCACGCTGAAGCCCCGCCCAGTCAGCGCCGGTGGCTACGAATACCTCTTCCACCAGCAGAAAAGGTCAGCGACTTGGCTGGGGGAGTGGGGGGGCTCCCTGGGCCGGCTGGGGGGGGGGAGCTCTGGGAGCAGCACTCTGCACACACCCAGAGGAAGCGTCTCCCTGCTGGATAGGAGGCTTGCCCCGCACATGGGGCCTGTGTCTCTGGGGCAGGGAGACCTGAGATGGCAGCCGGCCCATTTGCTGCTGGTGCTGAGCAGGGCCTCTGGCTCCCTCCCCACCAGGGATCAAGATCCGAGCGAGATGAGTGGCAACCCCCCTTTGCAGACCTGCTGGCAGTGCCAAACCCAGCAGCAAGCCTGCGCCCTCAAGCACCTGTCCCGGGCTCAGGACTTCGCCACCCTCTACCCCTATGGGGACCCCACTGCCATCACCTACGACAACGTGAGCCATCCTCAGGGCCTACAAAGAGCCGGTGTGGGAGGGAGGGAGAGGTGCTCCTGAGCCTCTGGAGACGGAGGTTCCTTCTCAGGAACAGCCCGAAAGGCCCTGACCTCCTCCTGCTCCTGGGGTGGGGCCAGGGACTGTGCCCCATGGGAGGCCCCTTCTCTCTCTGTGCATTTCTTGTCCCAGACTGAAGTGGACATTCTGGGGGTGAACGGAGTCCTCTACAAAGGCCGAGTGAGCTCACATGCAGCTGAGCGGACATTTGCCCTGCAGAAGGAATTTGCAGGTGGGTGAATTGGCCGCCTTGCATGCCAGGGAGGGTTGCCACCTTTTCCCAGCCTGGCACCTCCAGATCCTCGAGAGGGCTCTTGGGGGGAGGCACCTCTCTTCTCCCAGGGGAAGCCCAGTGGCTGGAAATCCCCTCCCCAGCCACAGGAGAACCTGGTGGGCTGCTCTGGCTTGCTCCCCTCGTTCCCCAACTCAGCCACGCCTCACTTCAAGCAGCCCACTCTGCATGCGGAGAGTCTTGGCAGCCTCCTCCTCCTCCTCACAGCCTGGCTGTTGGCTTCTTCCCCACACAGCTCTGAAGATTCCCCGGCCTCCGACGGGAGTGCGAATGGAGAGAGTCCGCTCTGCCTTTGCGGACATCAGTGCGGTGCCCTACCCCTGTGAGTCGGCCTCTCTTCTGCCAGCAGGGCTCCAGTCGTTCTGTTTTGCGGGGTCCTCCCGCCACGTCCTTCCCTGTGAAATATGAGCAGGACAAGGGTAACACGGGGGGAAACGGCTCTTGGGAAAGACTCCTGAGTCTGACCCTGCCTGGTTTCTCCCTTTCCCAGCCTCTGTCCTCCATCGAGTGGGGTCTGCAATAGCCCACAGCAACCAGCGACCGCAACAGCTTAGCTGTGATCCTGTGGACAGAACAGGCATCAGTGCCGCCCTCAGCGAAAGCCACGTTCCGAACGAAAGGGACGTTCCAGGCCTGTGAGCTCAACTCCATGAGCCCAACGTCATTTCACCTCTCTTCTTAAGTACCCGCCAGGTTCCTCCCAGACGGGGCAGGAGGTGGTCGAGGTGGAGGCGTCTTGTGGGGTTCCCTTCCTTTCCTCTCAACTGGGTTACCTGGGCCGGGCCTTTCAGACAACCTCCATTATGGTGTCTTTCTAGGGGCAGCCATAACTTTTAGCAGACTCCTTCCCTGAAGGCTTTGGTCATTCCTGCCAGATCTCCGATGCCGTAGCGGAAGAAGCTGCTTCTTGTCCATCTGAAACAGGGGCCACAGGCTTGCCTGGCTGTCAAAGGAGAGCGGCTGTGTCCACACTACCATCATGCCCGACGTACGTCAGATGTTCAGCAGATCATGGGCTAACATGGTGCTTCTCTCCGTGGTGAACCAGGATTAAAAAACAAACAAACATTCATTATGATGACAGTGAAGACAAGTGTCGCAGGGGCCAAGATCTGCCAGGGGTTCCAGTTTGGGCCCTGGCGTCTTCAGAAGCTTGGCCAATGAGCCTCTCCTTTCCGCATGGGACCCCGGAGATATTCCTGATACTGTCTCAGCCTTGGCACAGGAAAGCATTCATCTAGAGAGAAAATGATTCTATAAAGATTCTTTTTCTACATGCTGTGAAGTGCTGCCTCTGTTCTGCAAGGAGCTTGGTTCTTATTCCTCCAACCTCAGCAGTTTCCTTTGGAGGCTGGTTAGCAAGAGAGGGAAAGGCGCCCCGATGGTCATGCGATGCCTTGGTCAAAGCAAATCAGTCCAGTAGCTGGTCGGTAGCTAAAAAGAGGAAATACTGGTGCCTAAAACCTACATGTTGCTGTGAGGTGCAGTTGGAGGCTTGTGGGGTTTCACATTCCCATAAGTGTGGGCCTGGGCTTGTTTTCCTGCAACAGACTATCCCCCTCCAAAGCCAAAGGCCCTTGGGGACAGAGAGCTGCCTCCCCCCCCCTGTCCTGTCTGGGGTGGTGGCTGGGGGTTCAAAGGAAGCTCCTGAGGGGCAGGCAGGCGGGCAGCCTCCGCTCTTGACTCTCTACCTCCAGGGGCAACTGAAGCCTTTCCAGGAGCACCTTGACTCCCAGGAGGGCCATTGCAGGAGCTGCCAGCCTCGTCCGGGTTGGGGAGGTCCCCAGCCCTCAGCCTCCCCGGGAGAGGAGCTCTGGTGGGCAGCTGTGCGGTGCTGCTGCTCCAGCCTGGCTCCCGCCGCATTTTCAGCCCTCTATGGCTTTTCTGCCGTGGGTGGAGGGAGGTTGTGGCGGATGGCGGTTGAGAAGCCTCAGCTTTGGGGCTCTGCTCGGGGGCTGTCGCTGGCGTTTCCACCGCGGGCCGGCACCGGCGGAGCTGAGGCAGGGCGCGGAAGCGGGGCGCGGCCCCGACCTTCAGCACCCTGGATAGAGTCCGGAGCCCCGTTCCAGCTCTGCCTGTCGAATGCGGACTTCAACTCCCATCATGCTCTGCCGGTGCGCGGCTTCCGCCCTCGTCCATGGCCACAACTCGCGTTTCTCCCAGCTCTCGGGTTGATTGGCGGTCGCGGCTCCCGCCCTTTCCTCTTAGGGCGGCCCCAGCGGACGGGCGCTTGTTGTTTTCCAAGCTGAGCGCGGTGCCTGTCGGGAAGCGTAGTCCACGGATTGTCGGACGGGCCGAGGACTACCGGGCGGGCGGGGAGGGATGACTCGCCTTCCCGTGGAGCTCCGCGCGGCAGCGGCCTGCAGGCCTGCCTGACGGGCGACACAGAGGGGCGACCGCCGCCAGCTCCTGCCCTGCCATGGGCTCCCTGCTCAGCCGCCGCATCGCCGGCGTGGAGGACATCGACATCCAGGCCAACTCGGCCTACCGCTACCCGCCCAAGTCCGGTGAGGCGCCGCGCTGGCTCCGGCCGCCCCCGCCCTCCGCCCTTCCCCTCTTGGGGAGGGCCGTGGCCTCCCGGGCAGAGGAGCAGAGCTTCCCTGGCGCGGGGCAGTCTACCTGAGCCCGAGCAACGGGCGGCAGCCGCGGCTGCGGAGGTCTAGCGGCTCCGGGCTCCCCGCAGAGCCGAGCTGGAGGGCTCCAGAGCCAGCCTGGGCCATCCGCCGCTGGGAAGGCTGCTGCTGCTGCTGCGGCTGCCGGGGTCCTCTGGGCGGTGCGGAAGGCCCGGGAAGCGGGAAGGTCAGCCGTGGAAGGCTCTCTCCCTCTCTCCCTCCCTTCCTTCCTCTGGGCACCAGGCAACTACTTTGCCAGCCACTTTTTCATGGGCGGCGAGAAGTTCGACATGCCGCATCCCGAGGGCTACCTCTTCGGGGAGAACATGGACCTGAACTTTCTGGGCAACCGGCCCGTCCAGGTGAGCGCAGGCAGGCCGGGAACGTTTCTCCTCAGAACCCGGCTTTTCCTGGGGGTCCAAATGAACTGGGGGAAGGTGCCTCTAGGGGATAAGCTCATATTTATATATCAGTTTTATGTACGTGTCTCAAAAAACAGTTCTCAAAATTTGCACTGCGTTTAAAAAATCCCCACCGAATGTTGGAAATACTGAATTTTAATGGACGCTTTTTCTAAATTCTGAGTTTGAGTGCAGTTCTGTTTTTGTAGTTAATGATATCCTAAACCCATCCTGTATCCTCCCATCCGCTTTGCCTTTCACTCTGCCTCCTCATAGACTCCCGGTTTGTCTTTCCAGTTTCCTTACGTGACCCCGGCCCCTCATGAACCAGTAAAGACCCTCCGGAGCCTGGTGAACATCCGCAAAGACTCCCTGCGCCTGGTCAGGTACTTCAAGGCAAACTCTGGCGGTTGGGTGCTCTTCCGGCTCCTGGGAAGGTTGTGTGAGGCAGGGCTGCCTTCTGGTGGGTTGTTTTCCCCTTTGCCCAGGAATCCCCTTGCCACCCTTTTGATTCTTTGCCAATGACTGGCAGATGGGAGATGGCGTCTCTCACTTGTGGCCAAACAGGGTCAGTTCGGTTTGAGCTTCAGCACTGCAAACGCCTGCTGTTTATGCTGCCTTTGAGGCTGCCTTTAGCTGATCTTCCTGTCTCTGACGGCCTCTCATAAATGGCCAGGCGGCAGCTGGGATTTAATTTGGAAGGAAGTGACCAAGAGACTCAAGTAGATCCCGGGCAGAGAAACTAAGGGAAGATAAAGGGTGAGATGGATGTACATGCTGATCAGGGACTCCGTCCCTCGCTATCAAAAAAAAACAATCCTTTTTGTCTATTCTTGTTACTATTTTATATTGTAAACTTTTTTTAAAAAGCAGGTAACAAGTATTAAAGAACTCTTTGGAGGCCCCTTAGCAGAGATTGGCAGTTTCTGAAACAATATTTGGGGATACTGACTGGGAGACGTAAGGAGATCGAGAGACTTCAGCTGCCAAATTGACATTTTGGTCATCCAGGAGATGCAGTGGGGGCATTTTGTTCTGCCGCTGACTTAGCCTTCCTTGGCGCAGGTACAAAGAAGATGTTGACAGCCCCACAGAGGAGAATGGGAAGCAGAAGGCTTTATACAGCCTTGAGTTCACCTTTGATGCAGATGCCCGGGTCGCCATCACCATCTACTGCCAAGCAACGGAGGAGCTGATTGGTGGCATGGCTGTGTGAGTGCAGGGATTGTGGGCTTGACCAACAAATGGGCCTCTCGGATCTGGCTTCTTTTGGTGCCACTTCGGGGAATGTTGCTCAGTTGGCTGCAGCTGACAAGTGGCAGCTCCAAGACTCCAAGATTTGCAGAGATGGGGGCGGAGGGAATTAAGAGTGGTGGAGCCAAGCGCTCCTTCCTGGGATGGCGTCTCTGACTTTGTTCCTCATCTGCAGCTACAGCACAAAGAACCCTTCTCTGCAGTCGGAGACGGTGCACTACAAGCGAGGGGTGAACCAGCAGTTCTCCCTGCCCTCCTTCAAGATCGACTTCTCCAGCTGGAAGGATGAAGAGGTGACTCTGCCCATCTTCTAGCTGCTTCCCGAGTAGAGGAGAGTTGGGGCAGTTTCTGATTTGGGAGATTTGGCTTCCTTGGTCTCTCTTCGGGGCCTTGGATGCAGAGCCATGGGGCTCAGGTGGCACCAGAGCCGCCCTGCCTGGCTCTGGGAAACGAGTGCAGCTGTGGGAGCCACAGGGAGGATCTGAGGGGGCAGGAAGGCCACGTCTGCCTGGCCTCGATTGCCTCGGTCACAGCTCCACTGCTCTGTCTTCCGTCACAGAGCAGGAGAGGAATGAGCCAGCAGCTACTCGGATGCCTCTCAGAGGAATGTTCTCTTGTGCTCTCAGTCTGCGGCTAATCTTTCGGCCTTTCCTTCCAGCTGAACTTTGATCTGGACCGGGGCATTTTTCCAGTGGTCATCCAAGCCACGGTAGACGAAGGCGATGGTATGAGGCAGATTTGTGCCTGTAGTTGGGCAGTCCTCCATGGGGCTATGTCAATTGGGGGGGGGGTTGAAGAGGGGGGGGGCAAAGGGGCTTGGACGGCCATTTGTTGAGTGGTCTGAACTCCACTAAAGCTGGCAAGGGTCCCAACCTTTCAGTCCTTTGGGATGCTTGGAGAGAAGAGGTTTCCCCTTCTGCCAGCTCTCCCGCATCCCAGCCTCAGCTGCTTCCTTCAGTCCTTGGGGTTTGTCCACTTGTGCCTCCATCCCAAGGGAACCCCTTGCCCCCCCCCTCCGGTCTTGGCTGGGAGAGCTGGTCTCCAGTAGAGGTTTCACCCAGCAAAAGAGGTTTCGCCTGGCTATCTCCTCTCAGCTCGGTCCAGCTGCTGGATTCCTAGCTGGATTCTCACAGGCTTTATATTTGCCTCCTAGTTGTTGTGGAAGTGACTGGCCATGCGCACATCCTCCTGGCTGCCTTCGAGAAGGTAAGAGGTTCTCTTGCAGGACTCTGGATTCCTTCCCTCCCCCAATGGCTGGCCTTGTCCAGGGCTTGGATGTCTACCTTTCAAGGGCAGCGTGGCATCTGGAGGGCTGGGGATGTGCATTCCAGTAGTTGCAGGTATAAACTGGGTTCGGTTGCTGCTTAACATTTCATGTGGCGCTTTGACTGCTGCGTTTTTCTGCTTCAGCTGGAAACATTTGCATCCCCTGAGCTTTGGGTCTTGTAATGTTTCACATTCAGGAATTTCTGCAGCAACCTCAGAAATTGGGCTGGGGGTTTCCATTGCAGGCAATCTGGGCTACTTGTGTTCCCTTCCGGCAGGGCTAATCTGTCTCCCTCCTTTCTTGCCCACTAGCACGTGGATGGCAGCTTCTCTGTGAAGCCCTTGAAACAGAAGCAGATTGTAAGTCTTTCCCTGCAATCCTGGGGGGGGGGGGGGGACAGTGCTCCAGGGGAGCCCCTCCCGTGCTCACTCGCTTCCTGGTTTCAGCAGGGCGGCAAGGGGCACTGGGGAGTCCGGCCTCACAACTGGGAAGCTCTGCTGGTCGGCAGGGAAATGGCCAGACTGCCCCCCTTCCCCCCCCCCAAGTACTGGCCAGGATGCTGCTCCAGAGCCTCTGAGCTGAGTGCTGGGCCTGACAGCAGGGAGGAGGGGTGGGACCCGCAGCTCCCTCTTCTCTTGGGTCTTGGGGGTGGGGGGCAAGAATGGGGGGGGGCTCAGAGGAGGTTAATTCTAGGCCTGGATTGCAGCGTCCCTTGCTGCTGCAGCTGAGCTGGGCTCCTCCTTGTTCCAGTTCAAAGGAGCTTCAAGCATTCTTCGGGGCCCAAATCTTGAGGGGCTACTTAGAAAGGTTATTTATTGGGTTTTAGTCATTTTTTAATTGGAAAGAAAAATTTGGAATCTACTTGGAATGGGCAGGGAGACGTCCACTGACAGTCAGTGCTTGAGTCTCTGCTTGTTCTGCCCCCCCCTCGCCCGCCCCCCCGCAGGTGGACCGGGTGAGTTACTTGCTTCAGGAGATCTACGGCATCGAGAACAAGAATAACCAGGAGACCAAGGTAGGGAAGGAGACCAGCCAGGAAAAAACGAGGCCGGTTCTCCCTGGGGGCTTTGAGGAGGGGGCACTCTGGACTGGCTTCTCGGCCTCTCCTGTCAGTGGAAGCGGTGGGTGGCCCGAGGGGTCCCGGCTGTCCTTGCTGCAGGGCTTCAGGTTAGCTGTGTCCACTAGGGAGGCCGGCCACTTGGGAGATGTGGATGGAGAATGGTGAGGGGACTCCCAGTTAATTCCTCCCCCCCCCCATGTCCCAACAGCCCTGTGATGATGAAAACAGCGACAACAGCAACGAGTGTGTGGTGTGTCTCTCGGACCTGCGGGACACTCTCATCCTGCCCTGCAGGCACCTCTGTCTGTGCAACTCCTGCGCCGACACCCTGCGCTACCAGGCCAACAACTGTCCCATCTGCCGTTTGCGTATGTGCGGGGGAAAGGGGGCCACTGATGAGCTCCCCCTTCCTTTGGGGGCTTGGGATCAGCCCCCCACAAGCTCCCTGGAGGGGCCGAAGGGAGGCTGCCAGAAGGGCAGGAGTCGCCGAGAGGCCTGACCCTTTGCCACCCCACCCTTAATGCCTTGGCCAGTGGGCGCTTAGGGTACCTGACCCTTTGGGTGCCAAGGAATGTCTCTCCCTTCTCCCGCAGCCTTCCGGGCGCTGCTGCAGATCCGGGCCGTGAGGAAGAAGCCGGGGGCCTTGTCGCCCCTCTCCTTCAGCCCCGTCTTGGCCCAGAGCCTGGATCGGGAGGAGCATTCGGTGAGCCGGATCCCTGGCAGGGCCCCTTCCCCGCCCACCCAGGGTCTGCCCTTCTCCCAAGTTCCCTCGGTCAGCAGGGAGGCTCCGTCCTTGCCTGGAAGCTGTGAAAAGGGCCGGAGGGAAGAAAGCGCTCGGCCAGAAGCCGCTCTCCCCCCAGGGAAGGAAGTTTGCTCTGTTCAGTCCCTATCCGAGGTTTTTATTCTTGATGTTCCTCGCCAACTTTGAGGGTTGCCCTTAAAGATGGGGTCTGTGTTACAAATCCAGGCTCTGGCAATTTCCTGTGTGGTTGTGAGAGCAGAGCTAGGCAGGTGCTGGTCCCTGTTGACACGGCGGGGGACTCTCCTCCTTTCTCCCTGCAGTGCTCGGACAACATCCCCCCGGGGTACGAGCCCATTTCCCTGCTGGAAGCCCTGAACGGCCTGCGCTCCGTCTCACCCTCCATCCCCTCGGCTCCCCTCTACGACGAGATCAGCTACTCCGGGGTGCTGGACGGCCTCCCTCCATCTAGCAGGCCCCTCGTGGCGCTTGACCGAGGAGGTGTGGAGAGCAGCCACCAGAAGAACAAGCGCAGCAAATCCCCAGACAGGTTGGCTGGCCTGGTCTGCCTGTCCCCACAGACCCCCTCCTGCTTCCCTTCGGGAGGGAGGGAGGGATGCTGCCTTTCCCTAACGGCCACTGCAGCCTCCCCCTCCCCACTCGCAGTGCCCTCCGGTCCCCCTCCTCACCGATCCACGAGGAAGATGAGGAGAAATTCTCGGAAGACCTGGCCCTGGAGCCGCCTCTTGCTGGGACCGGGCGCATCCTGGATGAAGACGGCTCCCCTGAGGTGAGCATCCCTCCCTTTCCGGAGGCCTCTCGCATCCTTGGCAGACGGTGGTCAGTCCGGCACCAGGGTTTGTGGAACGAAGGCCGTGTTGAGGAAGAGCCACATGTGTCTTGCAAGCAGAGTTTAGGCCACGCCGGAGTGCACCGGACCTTGATGGTCGTTTCCTCTGGGTTTGGGAGTCCGTCCGTCCGTCTCCCCCCCACCAAAACCCCCCCCCCCCCCCCCAGGGCTGGAAGGCTGTTCCCTTGTGCCTTGGAAGCGTTTTCTTTGGCAAAGCGGAGACAGGCATGTAACATAAAAGGAAATATTGGCGCAGCAGAGCTCCCTATCTGAGGGAAGTGCAGAGCTAAGCTTGCCCTGTTCTCCTCTTCCCCAGAGCCTGGCAGCTGAAGAAGCCGAAGCGGTTGCCGCCCTGCCACAAGGTGAGCCCACTGGGGATCCAGGAGGACAGGGGAGGTCTTGGGGAAGGAGGCTGCTGGGGGGCAGATAATTCCCCCGTGTAGAGTTCAGCCCCAAAGGGCCTGGTAGAGAAAGGGGATGGGACCAAAGACGGAGGATGGAGGCCGGGATGCCTGCTGTGCGCGGAGGAAGCCCCCGGGGTCAAAGAGGGGGTCCTGGGCGGCCAGAGGAAGCGGGCTGGAGCCTTTCCCAATAGGCCGCCTCTCCTTTCCCCCAGGTAGCCAGCCTTCTTCCGGGAAGGATCTTGTCCAGGAGAGCAGCAAATCCTGCGAGGCCCTCCAGAAAACAGAGAGTGAGCTGCCTGCTGACGTCTACCTGCCAGGTAAGGGCCGGGGAGGCGCTCAGGGGGTCCGGCCTGGGTCTTGGGCCTCCTTCCGGGAAGCTGGTAGGAAATAGCCCAGCTTCTCCGCACCTTCCTCTTCCTGCTTTCCTTGCCTCTGTAACTCCTTGGGGGCTGCAATGGGGAGAGCTGGGTCTGCCCCCTTGGCCCTTCTAGCCTCCCTCCACAAGGAAGCTCAGCGTAAGAGGCCCAGCTGTGTGTGGTGGCTCTGAAGAGGGAGAGAAGTGGTGGCTCCAGAGGGGGCCGTGTCTGTTTGCGGGCGGGGTGGGGCCGAGGGGAACCCTTCCCTCTTGGAGCGCCATGCTTGGCCTGAGCCTTTTTTCTAACATCTCCCTCCTTTCTGTCTGTCCTCCGGCCCTGCCCCGCCTGGGCAGCCCTTGGCCCGGACGCCTGCTCGGTTGGGATAGAGGAGTAAGCCGGTACGTCTTCGCTTTCCTTCCTGGGCGTCAGCAGGCGTCTTCTCCGAAGCTGGGTTGGGAAAGGGCAGCCGCAGCCGAGCGGGCACTTGTTCTTGGCTCTGGGAAGCCGCGAATTCAGTTGGTCCTTTTTGTCCACTGCCACCCAGGGAGGATGAAACGGGCCCGGCTCTTCCAGCAGCTTTGCAGCACCAAACGGCTCCCCTCTGAGCCCCAGGAGCATCGGGGCTCCCGCACTGCCCAGCTGCCTCTGTTCTCTCCTCCAGGGTCCTCTGACTTCACCGGCGGCCTCCCGAACCCAGGGAGCAGCAGTTCTGGGCAGCCGTTCCTCTTCCTTCAGCCTCACCTCCGCCTTGAAAGTGGGCCGAACCCACCCTGAGTCCCTGGGCCAAGAACCAAACTCCAAGCGCCTGGGGCCTTTTTCCTCCCCCCCCCCTCCTGCCCTGAAGGGACACAGCTGCAGGCACAAAGCAAGATGGACGTGTTTTTCCCCCCCTTCCCTGGGCCTGCCTCAGGCCAGCACCCTCCCTCTTTTCTGGATGTGTGTCTTTGTATGGACGTGCATGTCCCCTTTGTGGCCGCGGTCGGGAAGACCCCTTCCCCGTCTGCTGCCATGGGCCGTCCTCTCCCCAGGGGGGCCCTTTCCAAGCCCCTGCTCTCTCGCTTGGCCGTTCCTGGATGCAGCTGGCCCTTTGGGACCTCTGAGAGAGCAGCTGCGCTCAAGCGCCTCCCCATGTCCAGGCGTGCGAGTTAGAGGGCCGTTCTCTCCATCTCCCTGCCAAACGCAGCCCCTGCCACCTGGTGATTGTAGCCACGGTTCTGGGACTTTCTCCCCCTCCAGGCCGGCCCTCATGACTTGTGCAGGAGGCCCCTTGTCCTGCTGCCCTCCCCACCTGCAAGTCTCTTCTAGTGCCTGTCTTCTTTCCACACCTAGGTGGTGTGTTCCTATATTTATAGTAATAAACCTTTTGGTGTCACTTTCTGGTGCTGCTCATCATTTGGAGCAAGAGGAATGGAGGTGTTGGCTTGTCAGCTGAGATAATCCAGAGCAGGGAAGTAGAAATTCTAACACCACCGTTATTGTAAGGGTGACCAGACCAGGCTCTTCCTCCAGCCTCTCAAGGTTGTTTGTCTCCCATCATCGGCCTTCGCAGCAGCCGGTTAACTCCGCCATTGCTTTGCAGGCAGGGGGTCCCTGGGGTTCCCAGCGTGGGGGGGGGGTGTGTGTGTTGTGTGCCTTGACCAGCTTTTGAGGCAGATGAGATAATTGGTGGGGGGCGTGGACACCCCCACATTCTGGGCCTTCCTGAAAGTGGAAGTAAGGGATTTTGGCAACTGGACTGCGAAGAGGGCTTTGCGTTTATAATGGACAGTGGCGAAGCTTTCCTCGGTTGCCCAAAGATGGTATTTTTCTTTATTAATAGCCTCTTAACAGGCCAGATTTAGAAAAAGCTGGGGATTTCCTGCTCCTTAGAAAGCAGAGGCTGATTGGGGACCACGGGGCTTAGCCATTCCTCTTCTGCATATTGACAAGTGCTAAACTGTCAAGACTTCACCAACCCTAATTCTGTGCCACTTCCACCTGACCCAACCCTCTGGCAAATGGCAAGGCTGAAACTCTGGTTTTGCCAAGTGCTGGGGAGGGTTACCCTGTCCTGATCCCCAAATCCTGCCCTCTAGAGCAGCATGCTGCGGATGACGCGTTTTCCACATTACCTCACCTCTTGGTACCATTCAATTCACCCCCTCAACAGCCAAAGTTTTCACCCTAATTTCCCTGCTTCTACTTGGGGGCGGGGGGGAGGCTCAGCAGTCAGCCAGCTGCTGGGCGGATTCAGAAGCAGGGCCTTTCCAGCTGCATTTCCTGGAATCCACAGCCCGTTATTTAAAGACAGGTTTCAACTCCCTGTAATTATTTCTGAAAGGATGAGTCCTAGCTGGAGATAGTTCCATGCAAAAATGGAAGAAAGGTTGTCCAAATTTGGCCCCACTCAGTGCATCCATCAAGCTCCAAATCTGCTCCCAGGGCATCTCCACCTGCTTCAAAGACGACACCGGAGAATCGCCCACAAAAAAAAAAAAAAACCTTTAATCCAAGAGAGTTAAAACGACCGGCTGATGTGCTGTACAAAAAATAAGGAGACGGGCCAATACAACCGCCGTTCGGCTGAGGGGGAATTTGCTTACACGACAGGCAGGCACACAGGAACGATGGAGATGCACTATTCAGAAAGCATAAACGGAAACACGGATGAAGCTGCATCGTGGGCATT